CATGTCATTAATTGAATAACGACTTTGAAACTTTAGCATTGATATATGAGGAGTGCTGTCCTACACTAAACCCCTCGAAATCAGTCGTGATGCTCTCTGGTAAAAAACAGATGCCTTAGTAGAATTAATATACTAAGTGACATATAAATCCGAACACCCAGTTTAAATGGTTTTATTTTAATAAAAGTTGGTGAATGTATTTATCTTACTGTAAATAACAAGTAAAAAATTTTTCAGCCTTATCAGTTGGACATTCCGGTTTTTATACTGCTTTTTTTAATTCACTAACGCTCTAAAAATGAATATTTCAGCCGCACTAAAGAATCAACGTTGGCGGATTTTGGTTCTTGAGATCCTTTACGATCGGTTACGATGCCTAGAGTACGGAGCCCTGTACGATTTCATCAACTTTGTGAGTTTGATAGGGGCCGTATAGTGGGACTTCGGGACTTTCTTTCCGGGCAATTGCAGTTAGAGTGCAAAGAAGTGTAGACACTGTGGTTAGGTGTTGTCAGGCATGGCTTCGAGAAGGCCGTACGCAAAGAGCAAGGGGCACTGGACGCCGCCGTAGAACAACATACCGTGAAGATCGCCGCCTAAGATTATTGGCCTTAAGGGACCGTTTCTCCACTACCAGGTCCATTGCAAATGAATGGTTTGCAGAACACGGAAGACCTATTGGCATGCGAAGTGTTTACCGACGAATGAGAAGTTTTGGCTTGTTTTCATACCGGCCACACTGGGTCCTCCCTTTAACTCGAGAACACCGACGTAATCGCCTTAAGTGGTACAGACGACGGTCACTCTGGGATCAGGAATGGAACAGTATTGTCTTTAGTGACGAGTCTCGATTTTGTTTAGGCATGACGATGGTCGTGCCAGGGTTAGAAGGCGACGTGGTGAAAGGATGAATCCACAGTTTTTTGTTGAAAGACATGTTCCTCACACTGTTGGAGTTATGGTTTGGGGTGCTATAGCTTATGGTTCCAGGTCACCTTTAATCTTCATCAGAGGTAACATGAACGCGCAGCGTTATATCCACGAAGTTCTAGAACCCCATCTTTTACCCTATCTTGACACCCTGGCAGATCCAGCTTTCCAACAAGATAATGCAAGACCACATGCTGCAAGAGTCACAATAGACTTCTTTCAACATAATGATGTCACATTGTTACCATGGCCACCAAGATCTCCAGACTTATCCCCAATTGAGCACGTATGGAATATGATGGGTAGGAGATTGCTCAATTTGCAACGTCCTCCTCAGACTCTAGAAGCACTTTGAGAGGAGTTGGTGGTTGCCTGGAATGAGATACCACAGGAGGACATTGACCACCTGATCAGAAGCATGCCTAGGCGCGTTGGAGAATGCGTAGCACATCAGGGCGCATCCACACATTATTAAAGGTCAAAGGGATTTAAAGCAGTGCAGTCATTTTGAAATTTTTATCATTTACTTATTATGCTTCATTAAGTACTTATACAAAATTTTATTAAAATAAAACCATTTAAACTGGGTGTTCGGATTTATATGTCACTTAGTATATTAGCACGAAATGGCAAAACTATTCTAAAAGATATGACAAAAAATTTGGGGTGCACCTTGATTATTCACTCAGGTTCTGGGAGCACATCATATCTGTGCTAGAAATAAGTTGCATTAATCTTGAAATCTCATATATTAGTAGACGTATCCTCACACAGCTATCAAAGAAAGTTCTGGTGAAGGCGTCTTGTCACATGCTACTTACGCAGATCATATGTTTACGTAAACGTGATGAGCACGGACTAAAAGAAACCTTAAAAACCCATGCTATACAAATGGGGGTCACTATCAGATGTGCATTGAGGGTCATGCAATGTACGCATTAAAATTTCTTCTTTAATATCCCTATTTTTCTAGCTATCCGCTGCTTCAAAAAATACTATGAAAGAGCAACAATTGGCCTTGAAATAACATCTAGATGTGATTTTAGCTCCGACGATATTCATATCGCAAGAACGGAACCTATTTCTGACTTTCTATTTCTGCAATATTTCCTATTTGAAAAAATCAACTTCCCTCAAAATGACCTTAAAGCTGAACGTCAACGTCAAACCCAAGGTTACCACTAGATGCTCCAATCGATTTCCCAAAACCTTTGTATTTATATGTTTCCTCGCATCTCCAATTCCCGAGATACTAGGGTGCGTTCATGCTTCTGGGACACCCTGTATACACGTCAATGTCTCTTCAGTGGGGTTTGCAATAAATATTTCCAATCACTTCTAATGATAAGCAATCATTTTATAACTGGGTTGGGTCGACGCGGGCTCGATCAGAATTTCAAGAAGCGGAATCAGCAATTCTATTTGCGGCGATGGCTACATAGAATCATCAAAAGGAACTACTGGGCCCTGCTCTAGCCGGGAGCACTACAGAATGGAATATATATGTACCAGCGCTTATTTATGCCGCATATTTATTCGTAATGAGAGGAAACCTGTATGAGGTCTTTGTATGGAGGATGAATGGTCAGAAGCGAGGCACTCTGCTTCAGGTCAAATGCTTTTCTTGTGCGTGAGAGAAGGAAACTGTGGTTCGGAAAATCGCAGAGTCCAAGGTGAACAATATGAACGGTATTGCTGTAGGATTCGTAGAACTATTCTGTTGGAAAAATAACAAAGGTTTTCTAGGAAGTGCGCATTATTTTAATTCTTTGAGATTGTGTATTCGAGTGTACAGTAACATGAGCAGCTGAAACGTGGGAGTCGAATCCTAAAAGCTGGCACACCGCAGGGCTGCTACTAATAAGGTTGAGCAAAGCTTGATTACATGAGCTTTGAACTGAGTGATTTTGTTGAGTATCTCGATCTTCGCTTTGGAGGTGGAAATAGTCCGTTTCATAACAAATTCCCAACTAGCAAAGTAGTGCTGTAAGTTTTTGGTAAAATAACTGTCAAGCCTTAAAGGATCTCTTTTGTTGTTGCCTGCACACCAAGATGCTGGCTTAATTTTCTTCTTGCAGCATATTTGGGTCAAAATCACCAAGGTGGCAAATTCCAAATTCTATTTCATAAAAAAAATAACTGGCAACGATTACTTTGATGATTATCTAGAATGATCACTAGACTTGTGTTTAAACAATATTTACGTTGGCAGAGCATAGAATTAATTATTATTGTTGTCATTTGATTTTTAAATTGAGCTACCGCTGAAAAGAGTCATTATGGGAACGTTTTTGTGACATTCATTTTAAAATTTAAATATAACTTAAGTATTTCTTCTTTACTCTGTTCAGTAGCGGAAGTATGTGAAAAATAGTAGGAAATAAAAAAATTCTAACAAAATTGCAAAAACAAATATTTAAAAGCAAAATATCGTTACAAATGGAGCCATCTGACTATTTCTTTGTATTAAATTATCTAAATATGCTTATATTGCTGATTTATATATAAATGAGTAAGTTGTACGCATTAAAAGTTGGCCTAGTTTTTATATTACTAGGGCCTTTTTCAGAATATTCAAAATAATAATGTTTTATCCATGATTTAGTGATGTTCCCGGAAATGATCAGGCCTTCACGGAATGATGAATGTGTTCTCGAAATGACGGTACACATAAAATCCATGTTAGACGATGAAAAAAGAAATTTTTGGATAGCATACTTATTTATGTACTTGGCAGAAGGTTTATTCTTAACAAAAATATAACTTAAATCACATTTTTCCAGTCTTACAATCAACCAAGCAAAGATTTTTCATAATCATATTCAAGTTTAATCTTGTTGGTAATAAATAATAATCAAATCATCTAAACATGTTACTTATAGATAGTTCAACAGTAAAAGCAAATTAAACTTTTAAACAAAAACAAGTTCCTATAACCATATTAATTAAACACGTAAACATATATTATTTATAGATGTAAACATGTTACTAAAATTTATTTCTATAGTAAATTCAAATTAAACTTTTGAACAAAAACAAGCTTTCTTAATCATACAATAATCAAACACGTGGATATATACTATATAAAATTAAATAAAAATTAGAATTGTTCATAAACATCAATGTCAGTATCAAAGTAATAATATTCTCGATTATTTTCTTTTTTTAGTAATGGCATTGGAATAATACTAATTATTTGCTCAAATGCAATGTAGGATACGTCACTCAAATTTAATTTGAATTTATTGGCACCGACTTTAAGTAAGTGACTAGGATTTCTCCATCATCTTTATCGACACCTGTCTTACAGGTGGCAACATATCTGTAATTGACAGTTTTGTTTTGTGTAGGTACTCTAATTAATACAAATGTTCCAGGGGATATCAAATTTGGGTGTAGGTTTTCCTTCCCTTCAATGTAAGATGTACCAGCTTCAACAGTAACTGACTTTTGCGCAGTCTGTTGATGGACAGAAATCGACATTAAATCATCATCATCGGATGATGATGAATAATAAATGCTTTTATAGATACTCCGTTTCTTTGATTTCAGTAGATCTTGTATATCCATCGACTCGTTCGGTTGAGGAGACTTCCTTGACAGTATTCCCATATTTATTGGTTCAAACTTCGGATATAAGCTGCAAGATAATGTAGACATGTTTAGTTGCTTTTCAAAACGTTCGTGTCGGTACAGTTTGATTGTAACGTCTGGTCCTCTTTGCCATGTAATCCTTGTAATATTCATGATACCTGGTATAGCATCTAATGTTTTCGGAACTAAATCTTTTGCGTTAGAAATGTCTTCATCAGGAATCTCTTTTACTAAAATAGTAGAATCCGTGAATAAATTTATTAAGTCTGAGGCTGTTTGAATATCTCGTCCCATTAACTCTTTCAGGGGCAAACTATTTTATAAAATTTATTCTCTATTTGGGCACAAAAAAAATTTTTTTTATTACTTGTTTTTCACATAAAATGCTATTTGAGGATATAAATAGTACTCAAAGCTTTTCATATTTTTTATTTTTACATGTAATTTTTCATATATTTGGCAAAAAATAAGTGGTGCTATATATGTACCACCGCCCTATTCCTATTTATTTCTGTGAAAGTCCTGGAAACAGGTTTTATTTTTATTTAAACAAAGAGGCACATTGCAAACGCTGCATACCCAGTCCGTTCTTACTTGTTTTTTTTTAGTGCTACAGTAAGCACACCGACGTCGAGTACCGCGTTCAGGTTGATGAGATGAACCTTCAAATCGAATTTCTTCAGAAACATATGGTTTGTTTTTTTTTTATGGCAACAGTTTCAAAGGTTGACAAAGAAGATCTTTTTCTATCTACCAGTTGTTGTACAACAAGACCTTGTATTATACTTCTTCGGAAATCTTTCATAGAAAGTGTGGGTAGCTGTAACTCCTTATATAATATAAATGCATTAACAACAGCAGCATCCAGGAAAAAGAAGAAAATGCGATGCCACCATTTATGGCTTTTTCGATCTATTTTGTAGGAAGTAAGATTTTGGTCGAACTTGTCGACAAAATTCATATTGGCATTGTAATCAGAAAGGGCTTTTGGACAAGGCACTTTGGTAATTGATCCATTCTCTTCTTTTCGGTTCACTTCAAGAGTATCACGTGGGTCATGGAAGTTAGACAGGAGAAAAACGGAACGCTTGTCCTTCCATTTAATAACAGACAAATCACTATTGCTTGTAAACCACTCGATATCACCTCTTTTCATGTTCTTATCTGATTTGAACTTCGGAATATTCCGCCTAGAAGAATTAACAGTACCACAGGCATGTATCTGCATATTTTTTAGATCTTCCATTAGCTCGACTCCGTTGAAAAAATTGTCAAAATAGACCAAGTGATTTTTATTTTCGAGACCCTCGCATAGCTGTTTCACAATTCTTGAGCCCAAGTTTTTCTCGACATCACCACTAGGTTTTCCTGTATAAATATCAAATTTTAGACAGTACCCATTTTTATCAGCCAGCATCCACACTTTGTATCCCCTTTTAGTAGGTTTTTTTGGCATATATTGTTTGAGAGAACTTCTCCCTTTGAATTTTATCATGGATTCATCTATGGCAACTTCACGACTTGGCAGCATACATTTTCCAAATGCCTCTGACATACGGTTCAACAATGGCCTTACTTTGTACAGCTTGTCGTAATTGGCTTCGCCTTTTTTTGCCATCAATGAATTGTCATTCAAGTGAATATTTCCAAGCAACCAACTAAATCGCTTTACCGACATTAGATTACTGACATAAGAGTCATGTAGATCTGGCGCGCGAGACCAATGGTCCCTATAACTTGGAAGGCGCTTTATGCCCATAAGTAAATTTAACCCCAAAAATGTTTTAATTTCACGAACATCAGTTGGTTTATGCTTGCTGAACTGTTGTTGAGCATACAGGTTCGTTTCAAAAACAAAACTTTCTATCAGGGAGTCAGAAAAAAATAATTGAAATAATTTGTACGGTGTTGGATCTGTCATATTCGTTACACAATCTGCTAGACCAGAATGCGCAGTAAAATCTGGAGGTGGTGTAGGAGTTTTCACATTAGACCAAACTGGAGACTTTCTTCCAACTGATGAGGCAGATGAAGCTAGCTGCAGTTTTCCAGCGATAGTTGACAAAGGTATATCATCTTCTGAGTCACTATATGAACATATCAACACGTTGCTTCTAATAGTAGTTTCTGTATCACTTTCTTGGTCGTCTCTGCTACTGGCTAACGATTCACAATCAGATGGAATTTCTTCACCGTTTATACGACTTTGTTCCATTTCTGAATAAATGTTTTCGAGTTCGGCGTATAATTCACCTTCCGTCATATCGACTAGTTTAAATGGCAAGTCAGACATGTTGTAAGTCTGAAAATAAAAAAAAAAATAGGGTGTAAAATAAAAACGTAATGTGTGCGGTGGTACGCATTGAGTACCAGTAAATATAAAACGATAGAGGTTTTTTTTCAAATAAATATAGGATAAAATCATAACAAAACAACTTATAAGATAATTACATCGAAATTGTAACTTTTTTCGTGATCTTGAACTTCTTATTCAGGCCCTTTACAATTTTTTCTTCAATAACAGACTTCCATTGGAAATAGTTAACAGTATCTGTATTATCAGTTGGCTCAAGCGTAGGATTGTTGAATTTATCACATATACCATTCATGCAGTCATAAGAAGTTATGTCGCAACTATACTTCTCGATATTTTTCTCTACACTCCCTTGAGCAATTTGGTGTAAGCTTTTTAATTTTTTCAGCTTGAATTCATAATTTTCGTGTTTGACACACAAACAAGTTTGTCTGTCTCTTAATTTTGGAGATACCACCCAAAATGGTTTTGCTCTTAATAATGTCGTATAAGACAAGTTTATTCCAGTTTCGCTAACGAATTTTGACATCAGTTCTTTAACAGGAAATAAAAGGATGCGTTTTTGTTTCTTAATGCCGTTTTTTTTTACAAAATCTCTCTTAGCTGGGCACATCCTACTGATATCGTCACTCTGGAAGAAATCTTCAACTTTTTGACGAATATCATGCTTCAACACAACCTCACGAATTTTGGTATCCGACTTCAAAATCGATGTACTGGTTCTTTCTTTTGGCAAAAAAGTCTTAACCATATGAAGCAATTTGTATTTCCTTACCAAATCACCGCTGACACATTTTTGGAAGACTTCATTCTCTTTAGAGTTTTTTTTCAAACTACCAGCTTTTTCTTTTAATTGCGTAGTCAGTACTTCGTTAAATAAAAGATTCTTGCGCACCTCAGGAGGGACGTCAACATTTTTTATCAATGCGTCAACCTTGCTGTTAGGAGTTGTTGGTGGCTGAGATTTCTCCTGTTCTCTATTTTCTTTTCTTCTTAGTTTTTTCTTCAAGGTTTCATATTTACGTGTAATTTTAGCAATTGTTTTCTCCTGTTGTTTGATTTTACGATATGCTTTGGCTCTGTCCTTCCGCACAATTTTTCTACCCACTGTTTTTCTTACTGAAGGTGATGCAGCTAACTCATCATCGGAATGTGGCGGAGTATTGTTTAGTATAGTTGATAATGTCTTTTTCTTTTCTCTGTATTTCTTTGACGCTTCTTTCCAAATTTTTCTTTGCTTTCGCTTTTCTCTTTCAGTCATCTCAGCAATGTTTTTAACTTTCTTCTCAGCTTTCTTTTTCCGATAGTATGCTCTATCCTTAGCCCTTTTGATCTCTATCTCTTCCTCTGTCATCTTATCTAAGAATTTCTTTTTTCTTGCATTGGCTTTTTCTCCTTGGCGCAAGTAAGCTGAACTATTTTTTTTAAGTTGCTTCTTAGAAAGTTTTCTTTTTGTTGCAGCGTCCTGGGACTCCATATTGCTAGAAAAAAACCATGTATTAAAACTATTTAAGCGCACCATGCACTACATTAATTAAGCAATAGTTATAACATAAACTACTCGGGTAATTAAATAGTCATCTCGAGAACGTCATCATCATTTCGGGAACGCTCCGTCAAGTCCGGCAGCGTTCCCAAAATGACTGTTCCCGGAATGACTTTTTCAAATAAACGCGCCCTTTTTAGCCAGCGGCCATCTTTGGCGTCATGTTTGGCTTGGTTAATGTGAAATATTTCAGGTTAGTATTTGTCATAAAGACTATGAAACGCATTTTTTCAATATTCCAAGTTAACAAACGTATTCCCGGAATGATGACCTATTGATGTACGCTCTGTGGATAATAAATAGAAACGTACTTACCACCTATTGCCAATTATTTTGCCGGAAAGATCTTTTGATGGCCACTTTGTTTACATGTTCCACTACACTGTACCATAGACATTTAGAGGCTGCGTTCAACAACACGATTCTTCAGGGTAATCAGAGCTGCGTTCACTCAAATGACGCTTACATTACCGGACATAATATTTTGTCTTGAGTTTCTTATAATTCTTTTTTTTTTTCTTTAATAATGCATATAATTCCTGATGTCAGATAAAATTGAAGGCTAATAAATAACAAAAACTCCTAGATTAATTCCATTTTATGGATATTTGTGGTGTTAGTTTATAAAAAATGGTACTTAGGACACGTTCTCGAAATGATTTTTGCACTTATTTGGTCAAATAATCATGAACATGGTTTACTTTTGAAGTATAAAAATAGTATGTACTGTTAATATGATTACACAGCTATAAGTATCGACAATAAATATTTTAAAAAAATAACGAATTTAGGCATTAGCTAGCTACGGAAGCTAATTTTCCACCTTGGTGGTTTTGACCCATTTGCTCTAAAATGAGATGTCTAAAGTATTCTTGAGGCATACTTATACAACACCTTATAGGATTAATTTTGAAGTGTTGTATAAACGTTTATACAACTGTTTTGTATGGCATATTAGCTTGATAGTCAAAATAGTTGTGTTGTGGCATCCATGCTAATTTTTATACAACAAACCGGGAGAATTGTTGCTCCCGTGTGCAAAATTACTACTTTAGTCAGTTGCAACGAAAGCATTTATACAATTGTCGTTGAAGGCTGTACATTTGGAGCGATGTCACAACTTTTAAGCATCCCACAAACCGGCGCGAAATAATCGCGGCGAAGGATTCGCAACGAAATTCAGAGCGAAATTCGCAATGTTTCGCCTGTTTATTCATACCAAAGCGTCTTATTCGCTCCGCGAACGTGAAGGTTTCGACAGGTTGCGTACATTTTATTTTTGCCTTTTGCAATGAGCTCGTCTTCAGAAGAAGAGGAGGCACTTCTATTTCTTGCTTTAGAACAGGAACAAAATGCACGGTAAGTTATGTTTATTTAACGCCATTTGATAGTTGGGTATGTATTAAGTTTAACGAAGTACATAAAACAAATATTTTCAATTTTGTTTAGGAAACGAAGGAAGTGGGTACATGATATTAACTTGGAACGAAATAAATTTGGGGAATACCATACCTTGATGCCACAACTTCGGCTGGATAAACAGCGCTTTGACGTATATTTTAGAATGACTCCAGAATATTTCGATGAAAAAACATTGAACTTGGTGAAAGATGAAATACGAAAATCTGACACAAATTATCGTGAAGCTATTTCGCCAGAAGAACGACTTGCTATTACACTCAGGTAAAAAAATGGTATGTATTAAAATTAGTAGGCTTATCGAATACGAAAACTTCAGGGATCGTGAAATAAATATTTTATTGTAATAATTGGACTACATGTTGCCGCTAGGATTAAATGTTGCTAAATTATTCGAGGCAGAATTTGCCTCCTCTGTTGGGTATATTATTGGAGTAAACCCAGTGCCGCTTGGGAAGGACGACATACTACTATCATACATAATTGCAGACGCTGAAGACATTCTTCTATGTCGTGCTGGACATGCTGTACCTCACGCCAATGTACCATACATTTGTGGCGACTCAATTGAGAAATGATACGTACGCATATGATTTTCTGTCAGTTTGCCTGTGAGGAATTCAATTTTGTATGTAACAAATCTTATTTTCTTCAAAATGTAGGCTGTGTGAAGCTCCTAAATATTTGATATTGCAGACTTGTTTATTTTGAAGGAAAGTCATTCTCAATTAATACGTCACACCATTCCTGCACCTCATGTAGTATTGCCGTATCATCAGCAAAGCTGACTATTTTGCCTATACAGTTAATCTTGATATCATTAAAATCGATATTAAATAAGAGAGGGCCTAATACTGAACCCTGAGGTACACCACATTTCACAAACGTTTCCTTACTGTATGATTTTGATAGAGTCACTATTTGGGCCCTTGTTGATAAATAACTTTGCATTAAAGAATATGTTTTCACACGAAAACCCAATTTATCTAAAATATTTAGCTGTATTGAATGCCTTTTTCAGATCGACGAATACACAAATAAATGGAACTTTCTCATCAAGGCTTTGGGTGATCTGATTTACTAGAGAAGGGCCAACTTCACCAACAACAGTCCGTTATTCTCTACCTATAGGGTAACAGACCGTCAGATACAGCGAATGAGTTTCAAGTTCCAATCAACAAATTTTAGCAACCAATAGCTATGAAATGTTGAAAACAAAATACTATCAAAGTACGAGATGACAACTTGTCATTGAAACATCACCAGCTTATTGAATATTAAGAAATTACATATAATTCAGTCAAAATTTTAAGAAATATTTAATTTTTGAATTAAATTCATGTTTTAATTACTATTGTTGATTTTTTATTCATGTTTATATTATTTTCTTCAATTGATATGTGATACTGGGTGTTTTTTCCTATAAACCTCTTGCAGATAGCCACTAAGCACCTAGTTGATGACAGGCTCTACCAAAAATTTCATAGATATTGCTCGTTTCCAAACATTCATTCATTTACTTGCCGTTCATCAGAACCTCTATGGCACCTTAGATTGATATTCCCACAAAACCATTCAGGTTTTTTGATATCCATACACCCATAAAGGTGAATATTCTTCGTTGTTCAGGAACTGAACAAACATACACACTATATTCACAGCGATTAAGAAATTCCCAAATATATGCCTTAAAGCTACCAGAAAACCTGCAAAAAAACTACAAATTTGACATATTTTTCCTTTTTCACGAGAACACATTCTAGGTTATATTTATATTAGACATTATTTGAATACAGATGATTATTGCATTTCAAGGAGTGACATATGTGTGGGATCTGTCAACTCTTGGTACCAGTCACAAAACATATACTCTGAACGTTCAATTCCATCCTATTCAATGACAACACGGTGACTTGTGTGGTTATCAGCGGCCATTTTGTGAGGGTGCGACAGGGTTGCCAGATTGTGCATTAATATCCCGTTTCACCCTCCTGGTCCCAGTGGAGTAGGTTGCGCCAACTGTTGACTAAAGACTGAAGACTATTCGTGACATTTTTCCTAAAATCATTGCACAACAGTTGAAAAAATGCAAATGAAAATTTAAAATTATTTCCATGACGCCGAAGTATAGCTCCTTCGGTACCTTGGGTTATACATCTTGACAGTAGGGACGTTCGATAGGATCCTATATTTAGAAGTACCAATACATTTCCCGTGTATCGTCATCTTTCGATCCGGCTGTGTCAGAAAGAGTGACTGCCATTTGGCTGCGACATTACCCTGCCAAATCAGACATATCTTTCATCACTTTCAAAGAAATTGTACAAAATCTTCAGATTTGTGAAGTTAGCGAGTTTCACTTCATACGTTGTTACCAGACATGCCCAAATCATCAGTTGCTGCCGTGATATTCATCCCGACCACTGCATCCCCACGGCTAGGCGACCTGTATGTTCAATTTGTATTGATAGGGCAGCGGGTTATGCTATAAATCATATGTCACAGTGTTTGTGCACGGTTCGATGATCCAAAAAATATTTTCATAAATAGGAGATCTTTCCCATTCCGGAGCGAACAATCTACCAAAGATGCTTATAATCATGATACCTAGTAAATTTTCACGAAAAAAAAAAATGTAAAAGATTCATTTCGCACCTTCCACCACGGGACGTGATCGTCGTTAGACTTGGCAACCCTGCGAGTGTCAGATAGATATCCCCGCCAGTCAAAAAAGAAAAATAGGCAAACAATAAACATTACTAGTTTTTTTGATTTTTGGACTTAAAAGGCATTATCTGTGAAACATTTTTTATAATTTTTTGTCTATGTCCATAGTAATTGCATTATGCATCAGGGAGATGTAGGGATTGACACGTATTGCACATATTATCTGGATGGAGAGGACATAATGTTTTAATTGCTTTGAAGAAATTCATTAACCCATAAATTAATAAATGATTACTATTATGACGTAAAGGAAGATGAGGAATTGGATGGAATGTATTTTATATTCTTACAAAATACAGACAAAACCACACTATTCAACAGGTATGTAATGATAACTTTCAGTATATTGAAGTTGGTAAATTCGAGAGTGCCATGCATTATCAAACGTCCAAATCTGCTGCCAAATTTAACAGTTAGAAAATCGACCTATTATTTGCCGCATTCCCATTCGCTGAGGGGGATAACGGATTGTTAAATGTAAACCTATAACATATATCAAAATACATGAAAGTTGTCCTGTTTTTTCCGTACAAAAGCATCATGTTGGAATCAAAAAGTGGTCCTGTTTATAATACAGTCGAATTTTCACGATTTTATTCAATATTTCAGTAAGGTATTTTCACATTGGTCCATGTTGGTGAAATCGGCCGTAGTATACAGTCTGTGGAATATTTTCCTGCTACAAGACCGTATTGATTTGGTCTTTGAATTTTGAAGTTATTAATGAAATTCATCATCTTACCAGAGAGTAATTTTTCGAATTCCTTCGCCAATGGCTCTATTGGTCGATAACTGGTCACGTCCATACTATTGTTAGTAGAAATGTTGTGTGTAAATTGCATCAAAATACTATTGGTACTTTCCAAGTTATAGAGGACGAACCGCCATACAGAGCGACGGAAACGAGTAACATGGTTTTTCATGATGTACATGCTATGTAACATACAAAAAAAACACAATATCCTATTTTTTAAATTTGTTCAACGATTGACGTGGGAAATAAAATTAATTTAGTTTTCCACAAAGAGCAGGGAGCAATATAGACCCTCCTTTCTTCAACGATATATCCTGTTAGCCTATATTTTAAATTGTGACCATCGATATTGGTTTTTCCTAAGTAATTTCACTCTAAGGTTTTCTAAAGAACAATTACGCTCTTATTAGGGGCCCAGCTGGCTGTCTAATTAATTTCGATTTTAAGCCGTCGACGCAGCAACGCTGCATATAGTCCAATCTGATTAAGTGTTTTCGTGTCAAAAATAACGAACAAGCGCTATCACTTTTTATATAATAACAGAAGCCTACGGCGGTTTTCGCCTTAAAAATAGCATCAAGTAAGTTGACTCTACACTTCCTAGGCAACGCCGTGATCAGTTCAGCTCAAGTTAGACCTGGTCCAGATAAGAAAGCGTCATAGAGCTATATCCTGGATAGAGGATAGTTGCTATGCCATGCCTAGGCCATTCTGATGAGGTGTCAAAAAGCACGAACGAGCTGTCGGTGGTTGACTGTCTTTGGTCGGACGAACGTGGCATGCTTAAGTTAGTACGTCTGAGAAAATTGTTAGTTAGGAGCGTGTATTATGGGGAAGTTAAAGTTAAACGGGTAAAGTCCGCCAAATAGGTCTACACAATTGGCCCATAACATTCTTTCCCTGTCCTGCCTATAGTACCGTCTATCTGGCAACGTCGCGCCGTCTCTCCCCAGTACCTGATAGCACGCAAAGCACCCACTAGTGTTGCCAGGTCTGGTGAAATTTCACCATATCTGCTGATTTTGTGAATAATCCGGTGATTGTTGAAAAACTTTTTGAACAATGGAAATTTCCCGTGGTTTTTAAAACGTTGCATGTTTTCGTTTTCAACTAGTAATACAGTTTGAAAGAATAACTTTTAAAATTCTCGGTGATTTTTTTAAATGTTAGGAACAACGGCACGCCGTTCGTTAAAGTCAGCAGGTGCAGGGATGATTGTCAAAAACATCGTTCTAAGTTTTCAGAGCAAAGGTACGGGTAAACCTATGATGCATGTCATGTATCTCTAAGAGGTGAGTAAAAAGACTGGAGTTAGGAGTGTTTAAATATATTAACATCAAAAATGAGATATGAGGTTTAGCCTCCACCAACCCCCGATATTACACAGTGGATTTCTAAAATGAGACACTGGACCGATTTCCTAAGCATACCCCTTTTGTCCTTCACTTAGTAGTAACCGTGTGCAGAAATTTCATCTAAATCCGATCAGTACTTTCCAAGAATTAGCGCACAGACCGAAAGACAGACGTAAATAGATGACATAGTTTTTGCTGATATATGGATCATGTATAGTAATAAACTTCTTTATTCGCCAAACAACAGAACAATTTAACAAAGGGTGTTTGGCGAAGGGCGAAGTTGAGATGTACATCGCTAAAGTGTTATTCCACTTTGAATCATATTACATACTAAGTATATAAGTATAATCATACCCTGACAATAATTCCGAAATACAATAAGTATATGCAATAAGATACTAGCTTGTACGGCTTAAATTATTTATACATTTTGCTTGCTTTTTTAATTTCGTTTGGCTATAAACATGATAGGTAAAACTTCACTTATGAAATTTATGTTGAGATCTTGGAGGAGATCATAGACCCTTAAATGTATCATTTAAGGTGTATACATCGGTGCGAAATCTTACTTTATTATAGAGATATATCGGTTGTTTTGCAATAAACAGTTTGCGATATAAACAAGCTGCATGAAGTAGCCTTCTATTATACATATACTAAGTGACATATAAATCCGAACACCCAGTTTAAATGGTTTTATTTTAATAAAAGTTGGTGAATGTATTTATCTTACTGTAAGTAACAAGTGAAAAAATTTTCAGCCTTATCAGTTGGATATTCCGGTTTTTATACTGCTTTTTTTTAATTCACTAACGCTCTAAAGATGAATATTTCAGCCGCAGTAAAGAATCAACGTTGGCGGATTTTGGTTCTTGACATCCTTTACGATCGGTTACGATGCCTAGAGTACGGAGACCTGTACGATTTCGTCAACTTAGTGAGTTTAATAGGGGCCGTATAGTGGGACTTCGGGAAGCTGGACTTTCTTTTCGGGCAATTGCAGTTAGAGTGCAAAGAAGTGTAGACACTGTGGTTAGGTGTTGTCAGGCATAGCTTCGAGAAGGCCGTACGCAAAGAGAAAGGGGCACTGGACGCCGCCATAGAACAACAGACCGTGAAGATCGCCGCCTAAGATTATTGGCCTTAAGGGACCATTTCTCAACTACCAGGACCATTGCAAATGAATGGTTTGCAGAACACGGACGACCTATTGGCATGCGAAGTGTTTACCGACGAATGAGAAGTTTTGGCTTGTTTTCATACCGGCCACACTGGGTCCTCCCTTTAACTCGAGAACACCGACGTAATCGCCTTGAGTGGTGCAGACAACAGTCACTCTTTGATCAGGAATTTAACAGTATTGTCTTTAGTGACGAGTCTCGATTTTGTTTAGGCATGCACGATGGTCGTGCCAGGGTTAGAAGGCGACGTGGTGAAATGAGGAATCCACAGTTTTTTGTTTAAAGACATGTTCATCACACTGTTGGAGTTATGGTTTGGGGTGCCATAGCTTATGGTTCCAGGTCACCATCAGAGGTAAGATGAACGCGCAGCGTTATATCCACGAAGTTCTAGAACCCTGCTCGGCTGCTCTTGATACTCACGGGGATTTTCGTTCGCCCAGATGCGGCAGTTTTGCTTGTTTACCGTCCCATTCAAAGTGAAATGCGCTTCGTCGCTGAACATGATTTTTGATGAGAAAATGGCATCAATTTGGCGGTGTTCAAGGAGCCAATCTGAGAACGTTCGGCGCGAAAAATAGTCGGCCCGACGCAGCTCTTGCGTCAATTGGATCTTGTAGGCATGTACATTCAAATCCTTGTGGAGAATGCGGAGCAAACTGGTTCTCGAAATGCCCAATTCTTGGAATCGACGCGTTGTTGATTGTTTCGGATCGCCTCTCACACTCTCCTTCACAACAGCAATATTTTCGGGTGTGCGAACGCTCCTTGGCCGAAATGTTCACGAAGCGCGCGAAACGTGTTTTTTATTTTTGCACCATTTTTGTAGTGCTCTTGAATAACTTTAATGCGGTCTTCAATCGAATACGACTCCATAGCGATCAATTGTAAACATTCAACTAACAAAATGACATGTCGGTGACAGAAAACAAAGATGGCGTCTATGTCAAATTGACGTCTACTTTCCTGCGTCCCTATTGGACAACCCTTTATAATAAATAGCAGAGGACCTAACACAGAACGTTGAGGTACTCCGAGTGCAGTGTTCGTAAACCTTGAAGTTTTACCACTTAAAATCACTCCTGATGTGTATATTAATGATAGTTCTACAAAAAAGTTACAACACTTTGATCTAAATTTTAAAATTCTTAATACAAGGAAGCGATTCAGAGTAAAAAACGCACGACTGAAGTCCAACAGCATCAACAAAGTATAATCATCAGCATCTTTCGCAGTGACAACAACTTCGGTAAGTGCAGTTGCGCATCCATAACCTCGTCTAAACTCGGACTGAATTTCCGGTAGGACCGCATTTGCCTCAGTATTTTCTGTCAACTGCATATAACATCTAACATCCAACAAAGCATAACATTTCATTTCCGAATTTTTTCTTTATTACAATACTTTCTAGTCAGTCTGGCGTGGGAAGTAAAAACGAATTGTAACTTGGGTGTCCACAAGGTAATGAGCTTAAAAAAAACAATATAGTATAGTTTTTGAGAAATCGTATTTTAATTACATATCGAACCTTATTCAATAGCGTTTCTTTGCAATCGCTTTTTCATTAATCTGTAGGCTTACATCGGCTTCATCTCAGTAGGTCTGTAATAAAAAAGTACTTGTATATAAGACATTATTGTGAGTTTGGAAAATAAGAGCAACAAATTATTTGTGCCACCTTAAGGCACCATTTCTAGAAGAACGGACGACAATTAGCTGTTATATTTTGGTGTGTTTGGAACAGCGTAATTTCAATTTATTTTTCCATGTAGTTGCTTTTATCCGTTAATAATGCCAAGAATTGATTAGTGTGCTTGGACTAAAAGCTTGGCGGCAAAGGAACAAAGCGGCAGTGTGGTAGGCGCGCAACAAAATTAATTAACTCTTGGCAATAGCTTTCGATAATTACGGCGCTCCTATTTCATATTCCCTTGTTCAAAGACCTTTTAGAGGGCTATTTTTGTTTTCCAAAATCTAAGCAAATATGTTATTAAAAAGAGGGATATTCGCTTAGGCTGGTCAGAGTCCAGATCACCGTGGACGTGATCTGACAGGAATACTTCTAGTCAATACCGGAAGGTACTGGACAAAAGCTAGGCTGCTTGTTTGGAGTTGAGAAGCACATTTTTCCACATAACGCCCTGACTCTGTAAGACGTCCATAAAAGACCTAGCATCGGGTACTGCTCACATGTTTGGGGTGCTGCGACCCCGACTGCATGCTCGATGCTGTTCAGATGAATGTTTGCGATACGTCAAAAAGTTTTAGAGATTTTTCTCTTCCGTCACTGGTCTTATTTTTAAAATATATAAAGCCTCTTCGCCCCAGCATAGTAGTAACCTTGTATAGGAATTTCACCTAAATCAGAGTAGGACTTTCCAGGTCATAGACGAGCCAAAGATTATCGGACAGACAGACAGACCGACAGAAACGAGTGACATGGTTTTTCGTGATGCACATGTCACATAACATGAAAAAAAGTAATATCATATTTTCGAAATTACCTGAATACAATACTTCCTCGCCAGTATGCGTGGGGAGTAATATGCGAAACCATTGGAAAAAATTGTGTTTCAGAGGGGTCGTACTATAGTTTACCCATCAATTTTCCCCGAACATGAATCTGAAGTCAGGATTGTTGTCGATGGACACACGAAATTAACTTCGAGATTATCATTTTTGGCATAGACTTATTTTTAACTACAGGGTGGCCCATAAGTCCTTTGAGCTGGAAAAAAAGGAATAAAGCCAAACTAGTTACATTATGAAGGATTATTATATTTTGTTATCATCTTTATTGAATGGGAATTATGTTTTAAAAATCACATCGTCTAAATGCAATCCATTACGATCACGGCACTCATATAAACGACGTCTAAAATTGTCGATGACTGCGCGGCAAGATAACACAGTAATGCTTGCCATTTCTCTTCGGATATTTTCTTTCAAGACAGCAACTGATCGCGGAGTGGTGTCGTACACTTTACTCTTGAGGTAGCCCCATAAAAAGAAGTCCATTGGGGTCAAATCTGGACTATGTGGTGGCCAGGAAATGTCTCCTCTTCGAGAAATTACTTTGCTGGGAAAAAGTTGACAGACGACGGGCATAGAAGTGTTGGAGGTGTGGGCAGTTGCTCCGTCCTGTTGAAACCAGGTCTGCGTATTATAGCCTGGAAAATTCTGCAACGCTGGTGTCAAAAACTCTTCTATCATTGCTACATACCGCTCCGAAGTAACAGTTAATGCGCGACCTCTGTCGTCCTCAAAAAAATAAGGGCCTACGATGCCATGCGCTGACATAGCAGCCCAAACTGTAGCTTTAGGGCTGTGTAAGGGCTTCTGATGCTTACGCCTTGGATTTTCGGGGCTCCAATAACGGCAATTTTGTTTATTTACATGCCCGTTTAAATGGAAGTGAGCCTCGTCCGAGAACAACACATTATTGAGCGAAGAAAATCGATTCAACATTTCATTCGCAAAGTTTAGTCTCTGAATAGCGTCATTATCTTTTAATTCCTGCACTAACTGAATTTTGTAAGCGTGCAGACGTAAATCTTTCCTTAAAATCCGCTGTAAAGATGTTCTGGGTACGTTTAGTGCACTGGAACGCTTACGAGTAGACTGGGTAGGATTTTGACGAACAGACTGTGCCACAATGTTGATGTTTTCTTCAATACGAGTTGTCCTTGGTCGACCCCATCGCTGTTTATCTAACGTCGAACCAGTCTCTTCGAACTTAGCAACCCAGTTCTTAATCGTTTGAGCTGTTGGACACTTTGTAAAATTGTGTAAATTGTGGTATTCTCGATATTTACGCCGCGCAATGGTTGCCGAATCATTATTTTGATAAAACGCGCGCACACAAAAAGCACGATCCGCTCCAGTGAAACACTCCATCGCGACTGAATTCCCAGACACTGAAGATACTGCCCCCACCTCGCCCGCGCCGCTGGCGCTCACCCGTTAAATTTTATTCAAATTTGAAATTTCAAAGGACTTATGGACCACCCTGTATTACGTTACCCACTATATGTTTTCTTTATTGTAAAGCTTAGGTCAGATTTATATGGCATGATAGGGCAAAATTACCACGATTCTGCCACAAGTTGACCTAAATAGTTGTTTATTCCCTAATATTGTCTTTTAACTTACTTTGGTTTCATTCACCACTTTGGGAAAAAGACAAACGCTTGGAAATAAATATAATCTTTTTTTATGCAATATTTTTAAGCTATTCTGTGGTCAAATGAAAGGAATTATAACGTAGATGTTTGTAGGGAGTTTATATACCATGACGGAAGTCTAACTAGCGTCTTAATATTTTTGGGTGTCTGAGGAAAAAAAGGGGGACTTTTACGATTTTACTATAGGGTTCTATTTTATACATCTTTGCTACCTGTTACCTGCCAAAGTAACTGCTATCCAAATTTCATTGTCGCTGGCCGTTGTTACCTCTGTTTGGCACATATACGGAGAAACTTTTAGGTTTTATCAAATAACGAAGGTCTGACCGTCGCGAGCCCTTCCTCTAAGGCCCAGCTTATCAATCGCTGGGGTTAACTTTTCAGTTACGTAACTGTGACTTGGAAGCTAACTGACACTTATCTTTGAGTGCGTTATTCAAGTTAATCTAAATCGTTGAAGCAACAACGCTTTTACGCCTGAATTATCGTGTTCCGCGCGTTTCGTGATGCTCCGTATTTGTGTCCCAAGTCATCCATTACAACTTATGTTACTGTGAGGGATGTAAGACTAGTCATTGCGTTTTGACCACAACTTTATAGTTAGAAAGTTCTATTATGACATTTCTATCGAAATGTTGCATGGCCAAGCGTTCAAAACCTTTTCAAGCACTCCAGCCGATCCACCTTAACCATGCCATAACACTTTTCAAAAGATATCTTACTTAGGCCCGGTTTTTCAATCGCAAGTTAACTTTTTGGTTAGTTAACTATCGCCAGGAAGTTACTTGCAAATGCGTTTTTCAAGTATTCTGACAGCGTCAGTTAACTTACCAGAAGTTCAACATATATTTATGTTACAGACCTGTATCTGCGGTTCTTAGATATCGTGTTCTATGCGTTTTCTGCGCTCGGCATCTGTGTCCCGTGTCATACATGACAGTCCGATTCAGTTAAAATTTCTTAAAATAGCCAAAATCGAAATCCGGAAATTTCATTACAAAAGGCTAAAACATAAAACCTTCGTCAAGCAAGGTAAGTTTTTTCAAACATTGCTCGTACAAATGTTTAGTAGTAGACCCTATAGATGGCATTATATACTAAGTAACATATAAATCCGAACACCCAGTTTAAATGGTTTTATTTTAATAAAAGTTGATGAATGTATTTATCTTACTGTAGACAACAAGTGAAAAAATTTTCAGCCTTATCAGTTGGACATTCCGGTTTTTATACTGCTTTTTTTTTAATTCACTAACGCTCTAAAAATGAATATTTCAGCCGCAGTAAAGAATCAACGTTGGCGGATTTTGGTTCTTGACATCCTTTACGATCGGTTACGATGCCTAGAGTATGGAGACCTGTACGATTTCGTCAACTTAGTGAGTTTGATAGGGGCCGTATAGTGGGACCTCGGGAAGCTGGACTTCTTTTTGGGCAATTGCAGTTAGAGTGCAAAGAAGTGTAGACACTGTGGTTATTTGTTGTCAGGCATGGCTTCGAGAAGGCCGTACGCAAAGAGCAAGGGGCACTGGACGCCGCCGTAGAACAACAGACCGTGAAGATCGCCGCCTAAGATTATTGGCCTTAAGGGACCGTTTCTCCACTACCAGGTCCATTACAAATGAATGGTTTGCAGAACACGGAAGACCTATTGGCATGCGAAGTGTTTACCGACGAATGAGAAGTTTTGGCTTGTTTTCATACCGGCCACACTGGGTCCTCCCTTTAACTCGAGAACACCGACGTAATCGCCTTGAGTGGTGCAGATAACGGTCAATCTGGGATCAGGAATGGAACAGTATTGTCTTTGGTGACGAGTCTCGATTTTGTTTAGGCATGCACGATGGTCGTGCCAGGGTTAGAAGGCGACGTGGTGAAAGGAGGAATCCACAGTTTTTTGTTGAAAGACTTGTTCATCACACTGTTGGAGTTATGGTTTGGGGTGCTATAGCTTATCGTTCCAGGTCACCTTTAATCTTCATCAGAGGTAACATGAACGCGCAGCGTTATATCCACGAAGTTCTAGAACCCCGTCTTTTACCCTATCATGACACCCTGGCAGATCCAACTTTCCAACAAGATAATGCCCGACCACATGTTGCAAGAGTCACAATAGACTTCTTTCAACATAATTACGTCACATTGTTACCATGGCCACCAAGATCTCCCGACTTATCCCCAATTGAGCACGTGTGGGATATAATGGGTAGGAGATTGCTCAATTTGCCACGTCCTCCTCAGACTCTAGAAGCGCTTCGAGAGGAGTTAGTGGTTGCCTGGAATGAGATACCACAGGAGGACATTGACCACCTGATCAGAAGCATGCCTAGGCGCGTTGCAGAATGCGTAGCAGATCAGGGTGCATCCACACATTATTAAAGGTCAAAGGGCTTTAAAGCAGTGCAATCATTTTGAAATTTTTATCATTTACTTATTATGCTTCATTAAGTACGTATACAAAATTTTATTAAAATAAAACCATTTAAACTGGGTGTTCGGATTTATATGTCACTTAGTATATAAATGGTGATAAAAAAGGTTGCAAATGCAATGTCTAATGAACCATGCTAAGGTCAAAAATCGATTAAGTTGTAAATATCTGCTGAATATCGTATTTTCCACCTTTTTAAACATCACTCCTATAATCTACAGTCCAAAAATAAAGGGGATACACAATACCTCTATTCTTGTTGCTAAAATTTCTCAAAAACTGTTTTCTAGCATGGAGAAAGAGATCAAAAAGAGAGCTCAAAATTTCTCGAAGAATGAGGAAATGATGCTAATATCATTTGTGAGCAAAAATAAAGATGTAATAGAGAGCAAAACATGTGGCACAGTTACGTGGAAACAGAAAAGTTCAGTATGGCCGAGCATCGAACAAGAATTCCAAGCCCTAGCAGGGTGCCACCGGGAGGCAAAAACTCTACGAGATAAATATTTCAATTTAAAGAAAAAAGCAAAAAGCAAATTTGCTACAAACAAAAGCAATATAATCAAGAGGTTCATGCCAATTGCAAGCATTCGATCTGATTAATACACAATTACAAGAAATAATGGGACCACAATTAGAAGGTTTGACAAACAATTATGATGATGACTGTAGTGACCAAAAAGAGGTGGTTACTGAACATGGTAAGTCTCATTGCTGTTTATTGAAGCATTTTTTTAATTACTCATTTTTTAGTTCCTGATGCAAATAACTGTGATGACAGTGAGGTGGTCTTCAATAATGGGAAATGGAGCTCCTATACTCCCCAACAACTGAAGAGGCCCAAAACTACAAAGCTATCATGTACGAAAACAATACAAAATAAAAAATATATTTCTGTTAACTATCTACTAATGGAAGAAAAGCTGAACTTTTTGAAACTACAAAACGAAAAATTCATCGAAGAACACAATAAAAAAATGGAAATATATATAAAAAAAAGGTTCAGCCGTTAGATTTACAGATCAGCGCATTGGATAAGTAGAAAACAAAGGATTTATTTTGTTAATTTCTGGAATATTTTCACTTTAACTAATTTTTTTTTGTATTTCGCATTTTTGAGGATAATATGTTAGTTTAATAATAAACTGTTTTCAGAAAATCATGTTTATTTTCATTCTGTAGTTACAATAAATAGGGGATAATTCATATGTCAAGTAGATGAGAGCTATGGCGAAAAGTTTAGGTGTCCAAAAAGATCGACTGAGTGCCCATTTTGAGGCTTGGGACATCTATTTTCAAAGGCCCTGTGCGCCTTTTTTGGGCAACAACAATTTTGGCCACGACTCTTATCCACTTGCCATGGATTATCACAGATCTTATACTAAACAACTTTCATCTAGTATCGAGTCATTCACTGAGCATCAGTGAATGTATTGAATCGATTTACAAATTTGCAAAATAATTATTAATAAGGTAAGTTCTAACATTGTTGATTGCATTTTGTGGCAACCTAATATTTACAGGATCTGTCTTCACATTATCTACATGAACCATGTAAATAGCATTTTCCTGTTCAGGACTAATAGGGGGCATAGCTTCATTATTAGGAAAGCAATATTGTGTAGCACTGCTGTTCCTAGAGTAACTGCTTGAGCTGTATCTAGATGAACTCTGAGACCCATAGCTAGACATGGAAATCTCCTTTACCAAATTCCATAGCTTCTCTCTATAACATTGCGACTACGAATGATAGATTCATTGTATAATTCTTCAGCAGGAGTTGTAGTTGTATTTAATGGTGTCATCAAATGGCGTTTAATTGGATAACCTTTGGTCACCAGCCAACAAAGAGTTTCCAAAGTGACCTGATTCAAATTGTCTGCAGAGCTGAGAATTTCCGAAAATATATGAATCTGCGTCAGAAACAGTTCAATGAAAAAAACTGCTTTCGATTTCTGAAGAGCTCTGCATGGCTTTCTCGCTTATATGCGTGCAGTCAATTGCACCTGTGCATCGAGGAAACCTAGCTATGTTATTTATGAAAGGATTACTTTTCCATGGCAAGAGCCTCAGTGTCCGGCATTTTTATGCGATTACTTATTTTACTCGTTAGTACTTTTAAGAATCTTCGGACTGTTTTGGATGCAGTTGATTTGGAAACCCCAGTAAAATGTCCAGCAACAGTTCCATTGCGCAGTGCTAAAAACAGCTGCTCTTGGGGCCTTAAGCAGTCATTCCTGGAATGACAAAGTCATGTAAAAATAAAGAAATAAACAATAATATATACATCTACCTGCTTGTAGGATATACTAAATCTTCATAGACTTCGTCCAGGAGAGTTTCTACAGTCCTTTTTGTAAGACGAAATCTTGCAAGGAAATCGAGGTCATCAAATTCATCAAAGTAATTCGCCCGATGGCGGATTATATTTGGCCTTCTCGCGTCTTCGTCACTGCTATATATGCATTCACGTCGTAATCCATAAACATGTTTATAGCTTAAATTAATCGATAGATTGATATGGATTTGTTGTGATTTTTTGTATAAACATCAAGGTTTATGTCAAAAAACGTCAGGTGTTGCTATTTAACTACAGCCTTTCTAGTTAACTCATAGATGATCTTCTGGTTAAAGTTAACTTCCGTTTTACTATAAACATGATATTGAAAAACGATTTTTCATAAATAACTATAAGTTAAGACCAAGGTCGTAGTTACCCTGCGATTGAAAAACCGGGCCATACAATACAAGTTTATCTTACAACTGCCTAAGGCGCCATCAGAAGACTATCGATTATTAATAGAATAGAGTACAATTACAAAAATATGTACAAGAATTGCAGGACAATATCCGGCCCAAGAAGCTATTTATTTTTCATCCTTTGTATTTTTGATAAGAGTTATTTTATCGTTTCTTCATAACCTCTTATCTTTTCTTGTTTTTATAGCTTAATCGGCATTATTCATTCTATTGTATTGCGACTTAATCCACCTATTTTCGCATGTTTTTTTCTCTGTTTTTGTATAACTTGTTTTTTTCAAGTTACTTTTTATACGGAGTACCATGCTTTAATAACTAAGACGATTATTAATATTATTATTATCTAATAGATGGTACTCTGATTTAACTACCACTTTAGGAAAAACCTACTGGTCAAGATGCAGTTAACTTGTGATTGCAAAACCAGGCATTTTATCTGTTTCACTTCCCTCGTACACACGACAAAGCACCACGATTCCAGAATAAATGTTGGAAATTTATCAACCCGTAGTGGAACACGAATCCAGCGCATGGAGTACCGGATTTGCTCGAAACGATTTGTCGACGGATCGTCAATATTTGTACTACGTTGTCATCCGCCATTTAGTTTATGTGCCGCTGGTGAACAAGCTACACGTGAGAGCCGTAATGGAGTCACACTGATCGGATGAGGCTTGTGCACGTTTCTCCTTTTCCACTTGGTGGAAGTGCTACTTTTACTGAACGTAACTGAAGTCGAATCAATCGAGTATTATTGCGGTGGTATCTTTGAGACAAATAGTCCGGGAAGTATTTTGCGTGCAGGCTATAGGAAAAAATTACTGACAGCGATCACTCTCTCTTTTTGAATGATACTCGTTGCCTATTCCAGAGCGAAAGAGAAGGGTGGAAATACCAGGGTGCGTTCATTAGTAGCCTGTCTCATTTTGATGGTTTTGTGGCTTACACGGGTAAAAATCATGGATTTTCACATATCTGAGAAATTAAGTTTCCTTTTGAAGAAAACTAACAAGAGAAGTCTGTTGTGTCATTCATCAGGAATCTTTTCCGTGAAAATCTACCCGTTAATAAGAATTATGCCTGAGTCGTTTGTCATTTCGGGAATACTTTTAAACGAAGTCTAAATAATAATATAACTGACGTATTTAAGAGCTACCTTCAATAAATTGTAACAAACCTGTCCCTAAATCGGAAAATGTGATTTTGCGTTTTTTTCATAATCAAAACACTTATTTTTCAAATTACTGTCCGTAAATCTTCAATTGGTGTAAATTCTGCTCCAAAACTTTATACATGTTTGCACTAGGTCGTATAGTAATATTATAAATACAAATGCCCAAAGGTCATTTCATCTGGTATATGTAAAATTTAACTATAATAGAACGTATCAGTGATTTATTTGCCGTTTTTGTGACCCTTCCGAAAATGATGGAGGTGTACCAGAAATGATAATGAAGTTCTCTAAATGGCGTTGTCGTTCTCTGAATGAACACAACACCTGCTTTTTGACATATCTTTTACATGAAAATAATATACACGTTTTAGTATTATACCTTTATTTGTAAGGGATGAGCAGCATGAATATCAAAATTCAAACTTAAAATATAATAATAATAAACTTTGTACTTTTAAACAAATAGACATTTGGCATTGGAAACATTATTACTAAGTGCATAATTGCATAATGTCACAAAGTAAGTTGAGTATCAAATTTTCAACTGTCACAGCTGTACCTACGCCTTTACCAATTGAGATGTAGAAGTGTGCTGCAGCTGTGTCCTAGTCGTTTTGTTTAATTTGTATTCAAAATTCTCTTACTTTACACACAGACAAGTATATCGATCCCTTTTTGTAGGTTGCACTACCCAATAAGGCTTCTCTCTCAAAAGTGTTGTATAAGATATTTTCCAGTCTCAACCCAAAATTAAGAATGCAAATTCTTACCAGATTCTAGAAGCAACCCCTTTTGTTTGTTTCCCTTGAGGCGATCTTTCTTACAAGGACACATTCTGCTGACATCGTCACTGTCAAACAACTTATGAATTTCACCACGAATCTGATTAGTAATTAAATACATTGGACTCCTCCGAATAGATATTAAAATATTACTATTATTAATATTAAACCTTAAAAATCGAAATATCTCAAAAACGGCTAACTATAAGGAAAATTCACAAGAGAGCTATTTTATGTTGAAAAGCGCGAAAAATCAGTTTTTGTATTCAAAAAGCAAAAAATTGCACTAAGAAATTTTTTTCGGTCATTTTAATACACTACAGGTAAAGTAGAGAGTACCCTCTAGCGGCTACAGTAATACTATGCCGATGGTTCGTTTTGCCGTACCAAAAAACCCTTATATACCCATTTTCACTGTTATACATCAAATATTGTTCGAAATATATAAAAAAAACTATTTTAGAAAGTAAATTTAAACACCCTGTATTTCGGAAGCCACGCATTTTTCGACCCATGTTTACATAGACTTTATGGATAAATTTTAAAAGTTCTTTCGAATCTTAAAGTTATGCAACAATAAACTGAAACACCCTGTATAAATAGTGAACTTTCTGTTAAATGGTTACAGCACATTGAGTAATTAAAACCAAGTACCGAAAAAAAAGTTTTAGTTTTACTAGATGGCCACACAACGCACAAAAAGTCATGGAATTGTACTACTGCAACTTCCTGGCCATATTACAAATCGTTTGCAGCCGTTAGACGTGAGCTTTTTCAAGGCTATGGAATTCTATTTTTCTCAAGGTCTAGAAACATTTTCAAGAAGCAATCCTGGTAACACTGTTTCTCAATACAATTGCTCTATGATGCCTATGCGAAAACAACATCAATAAGCACTATCATGAATGGTTTCAAAAGAACTGGAATATGGCCAGTTAACCGCACTGTATTTTCTGAGACAGATTTTATCGCTGCTAATGCCTTGCTTGAAAATGATTCAGAAAAATCAAGTGTGGACCCAGAAGCAGAAAATCTACGTGAAACGACTCCTGAGCCTAAAGACGCTGCTACTGAGCCACCAGTTCACAGTGATAGTACTGAACAAAACAAAAATTGCAACACAACAGATCTCAATACCTCTATTGAAGAAATTTACCCGAGAATAAAGGTTACGCTAAGAGACGAAAATTTTCTCAACCAGCCGTCATTCTGAGCACTACGCCCTATAAGGATGAATTAGAAAACAAACGTTACCAAAATTACTTAGATATCGGCCATTGTGAATTTCATACCCAGGTATATGATAGACTTCTACACTGTGATATAGGGTTATTGAATTACTTGCGCAGTAAATTTTATTGTGATTATCGTGCAAAGTAGTTACGCGATTTCTACGGGCTTCGTATTTGATTCATATTTTGATAATGATCAAAAGTATGTCTAGATTTTTAAGATGGAAAACTGAAATTATCTAATATTATAATCCTATATTTAGACACAATTACACTAATGTTTATCACTTTATATCTGTAATTTCGACCTGAAACATAATTATTTAATATCAAATAGAGGAATAAATGTTTGCCCAATATGGCGGGTGGTTGTGCATAATCATGGAATCGTCCATGTTGTCTTTAGTTTATTAGAATATTTTGGTGTTGCCTGCAGGTGTTATACAGCAATTTGACAAATGTCAGAAAAGAAATACTGACAGAGTCGAATGATTTACCTAGAATTTGTACCAGATCTATATCGTCTGTTTCAACAGTTGATAAAACCTTTTTAACCAATATGCATGCGTTGTTTGTCTTAAAACACTGGTTATGGCATTTTAACAAAAATATGACAGCAGAAAGTTAGGTTATGGTGAAGTTGTTTACCAACATTTTTAGCATATGTACAGCCTTTAACAGTTACTAAACAACAGTTGTATAAGTGCTTCCGTTGGGAGCAATTTGTTAGCTAAAGTAGTAAAT